AAGTTGTCATTATTATTATGATGTTCACTTGGGAATCCCAAGTTTTAATGGCTAACTTGAAGAAAATAAAATGAGTAAAAAAGACACCTAGCTAGGCCACCACAAAATAATTGGGGTCGCCTTTTTTAATTATGATCCCTTTTTCTTTTTCAACAAAATCAACATACCAACTTCAAATGAGAGTACAGTTCCTACTAGACCCAAAAAAGAGAAGATAAAAATGACGGGAGACACTCCTTCTATAAGGAGAGTCCCGACGACGACAAAGCTCGTTTAGCTAAATAATGAGCGACAAAATTTTGATTTTTAGCAATATAGCTACAAGACCCACTAGCACTGTCAAACGGGCTGGTCCGACCCGGCCCGCTCCGGCCCGCGTTGGCCCGCGGTTCAAACAGGGCGGGCCAAAATGGCCCGCATTTCTACGGGCTGGGAAATCCATAGCCCGTGGCCCGCCCGCATTAGCCCGCTGGCCAAATTGGCCCCCCCGCAGGTTTTATTTATTTATTTTTTTTATGGTATTCACACTCTTATATAATTTTTGGTTTGTTTATCTTCATATTTACTAGTATATTAATAAACTAGTAAGGTTTCATGTGTAATGATGTTAAATATTTGTCATCTAGTTTTTATTTTTATTTTTTGTTATCAATAGTTATAGGGTATTTAAGCGCAAGAACGACTTAATTGACATAAAATATTATTTAATTTATTAATATTTTTATTATGTAAAAAAAATGTTTTATGTGCAAGTTAGAAATTAGAAGTAAGATAAAAAATACTAAATTTAAATAATATAAAATTAAAAAAAAAAGGGGCCACTCGCCATAGCCCGCGGGCCAAACGGGGCGGGCCAAATAGGCCCGCGATTGAACGGGCTGGCCAAACAAAGGCTCAAGCTCGTCCGTTTAAGCGGGCGGACGGGCCAGCCCGCGGGCCACCAACCCGTTTGAGAGTGCTAACACCCACAATTAAGATTTAACAAAAGTGACAAAATGATCCCTTATTTGTGTATTAGAACTTTGAATTCATAAGCCTTTAAAGACGAAAACATTATGAACAAGAAAAGATTAATAAGGGGGTGATTGTTTACAAAATAATTTTCTCACTTTTATTTCAACTCAAAATTCAACTCAACTTGAACTCAACTCCACTATCTTTAATATTATTCATATAACTAAATAATACAAATCAATCATTCTTACACATCACATCACCTTTAATTCACTATTCATCCACTCACATAATTTTAACTACCTATCATTTTCAATCATTTTCAATCATTTATCTCTTACTTTTACATCAAATCAATTTTAATTATTTTATTTTAAATATTATTTTAATACATTCTTAAATTTCCACTACAACTAACTATATCACCTTTTTCAAAATTAACTGTAGTTAACCAAAATAACTCAATTTAAACAAATTATTTCATAAACAATCAAGCCAAGTCAACGGAGTCGTTATCACCTGATCAAAGTTGTCTTTTTTTTTTTTTAATTCCCTGAACATAAATGACGCGTCAATGGATCCATAATGGAATCGAAATTTCATGAAAACAACAAATTATTAATTTATTATTGTTTAATTACCCCTAATTAGGTTATAATTTCGTGCTTGTTGGGACATAATTAGTTGAGAAAATATTTCCACCTAAAGTATTAAAAAATTAAATGAATTTTGTATTTAATACTTAATACAATCAAACCTCTCAAATCACGCCATTAAAGTAGAGCACGCGTGTTTTTAGTTGATTTAAAGGGTAAAAATTACATTCATTTTATTTTTTATTTTTTATATGAAAACAAATAGATATGGTTTGATTTGGGAAATCAAAGAAATCACAATGGAAAAACCAAGAATAAAAGAAAAAAAAAAAAAGGCACATATAAGTCTAAATGATCAAACTGGCAGCATGAGAATGAGTCACAATTGTTGTTAAAACTTAAAATTTAACAAAACCAACTTAGCGTATGATCTTTATGGAAAATGCTAAGGTCATGTTACGGTATGGTACAGTACTGTCAGCGTTTTTCACCATTGGATAAGAAAAGTAAGTCATTTTATGTGGATAATCTACGATAACAAACCATGACGGAACCATTCTGTCAACGTGACTTTAGCCCGTTCCCGATCTTTACAATCAAGATAAAAGTATGCTATAATCTTATGAGTCACGAGAGGTTTGACTAAATACACTAAATTTTTAGGTCAAATAATTGGATTTTTCTGAAAACCGCCCTGAAAGACTGGATTAAGTCTCAAATATTAATCATAACCTATATTGATAATACAAAATTATCAAACGTAAAGTTGCATAAGTGATTAAGGAATTAATAGTATGCAATAATCAATAAATAGAGTTGGGCAAGAAATTTGAATTATAGTATTTTACTAATTATGTTTTATTAGATAACCTTAGAGGTTGAACTATCTTCGTTAGGCCAAAAAATCTTGAATTGCTCGACCGCTCCTCTCGAGCCGGGTTGCACCTCCTCGACCCTCGGTACTTGCAAAGTACGTCAGGAATGGTCCCGGCGTGGGCACTCCGACACTTAAGTCAGTAGGATGTTCGAGTGAAAATGGCAAGAGTATTGAGATGATGCGTATATGTATGTGTGTTGTGTACAAAGAATGATCTTGTGCCCCTTTATAGTTGAGGTGATCCATAGGTTCATGAAGACTCCTCGTGGGACAAGAAGTCTCTCCGATGTCTCTATCTCTGAATCAGGCCAACAAATTCTAAATCTTCAGAGTCCTTGAGGTTGTAAACCTTCGCATGACTTAACTATGGAATTACCTCTATACTCTGATCCCCTCAACAAGAACCCTTGGCTGAGGTGCCAAGGTGATCACATCCGTCTCGCTCACCAACCTCTAGTATTCCGCCTAGCTTACGAACCTTTGGTATTCCGCCTAGATTACCAACCTCGGTATTCCGCCTAGCTTATTTCCAATATAACTGCAACTAAACTCGGATCACAACCGGTCTTTGGCGAATTGCTATTCAAGTTTGTATTAATCTTCATATGAAGATTTTTATTCGACAATATATAAAATGTTATACTATATATTATCTAATTATATTTTATTAGATAACTATAGTCGTGGCCCGTGCGATGCACATAATAATATAATTTTTCTAAATTTTTTTAATATTGAATATTAAATTTAATAGACTTGGTATATATATATATACATATATATATA